GCTGTTTTGTCACTTCGCTTGTTTTTTTTTTTTTTGTTTTTTTTTTAATCTTGAACCAATGCAAGATGAAACATGTTCTTTATTCATTCCCTTTTTAGTTATCAGTAGTTTAAATTAAATTATAACAGTTTGATTCTGGGGAATCAAAGTCTCATAAGGTCTTGGAAAGAGATTTTTCTATAAACAATTTTTAGACAGTTATACAACTGTTTTGTTATTTTCTCTTTATCAGCAACTGTAGATAAGAATCCATGATGTAAATCTGATGGTTTTTCTTCTAATGATATAAACAGTCTTGGTAGTTAAAAGAGCCTACTAGCAATTGTCTAACTCAAACAAGTAATTGAGTCATCTGAGTTGGGGCTCTTGGGCAAAATTGTATAACTATGTAACAACAAGTGCATTTTGTTGCCTTGCTTTGGTGATTACTTTATTGCTATGCAATTCAAAAAGTAATACACAGCAAATCAGATGAACAATTGCATTTTTTCTGGATAATTGATGTATTGAAAACATTATACTCCTTTCTTGTTCCTTCACAAAGAAAATGTTTAGGCACATCCATCATTTAGGGATGTGACGAGCAACAATTGTTTCTGACGTCAAAATAATGACAACTGTAGCTACAAATGATGCATTGCTACTTAACTTTTAATGCAGATGAAATAAGGGTTGATAAATGTCCGAGGCTTAATAACTTTTTCAGCCTTATTCTCTGAATATTATCTGCAGTAGAAAAACGAGTACATTACAGATGTGGTGCACACACAGCAAGGCATGGCAGCAGATTCAGTTGGTTTATCTAGACTCAATGGAATCTGAGAACCTGAAATTCATGTATCTATATAACAGACAGAAACTTATATCCTTACTTCTTGGAGATTTTCCCAGAAAATCCAAAAATATCAAGCAGAAGAAATAGAAATTGTTATCTTTTGGTGATTAATAAAATAAATATAATCTTTTTTTGTTGTTGTTGTTTAGTTTTTTAGATGAGCAGCCAAGCTCCATTTTCATGTTATTGTCAGACAGTCCATTAGAATAAATCATTTTATTTGGATATAAGCCAAAAATGTTTGAAACAAAAGATGCATTAAATGAAAATGAAATACAGACAAGCTTGTGTATATCTATCAAAATTAAACAATATGCTACTATGAGGAATAATGTTGGAGTCAAATTTTGTTTACAGAGAATAATAGGCTTAGTATGGTATCTTCACCCACTGATTCGCGGCACTTTCTGAAAGTTCATCACGATATATGTATGTACCAAATGGCACAAGAAACTCTTTTAACAGATTTGAAATATCTTAAAGCATGAACACAGTGCTAAGATTCCAGCAACCTGCTCATTTTAAAGAACATCTCTTAGTTCCAGCAAAGTCTACAATGCTTAAGGAAGAGGGGCATATAGTATTAGCCAATTTTTCAGTCTAAATGGTGCAAAACCTAATCAGTTCCATGAATTCTTTATTGCATTTTCAGAAAGTGTCTTCCAAAGTAGAAAAATTATCTTATCTTTCCAATTACAAATTCTAAACCATCTGGTTGTGTAAAAGTGGCAAGTCATTATTCACAAACCAGACAGTCTTAAGATGAATTCTCCAGTTTTCCAAAAACGCATTTCAAGAACAAACAGGAAGAAAATTTCCACTAAAATACCTAACTTAATCTCGCATACATCTGTCTGCCAGTGCAGAGAGGGAGATAGTTTCAACATGGTCAATCAGCTGATGATTCTTTCCTGCAGGGTCTGAGAAAATGTGTCTAACACACTGACTGAAAAATTCTGCTTAATGAACAGCTGTGCGAAGGAGAAACTCAGACATCTACCCACTGTCTGGAAACGTTTGAAGTGATATTGTGAGAGCATTTTCTGTTAATTTTCAACTGGCTGATGCATTAATTGGTACTAGTATCTGCTTTAGTGGCTTTTAACATGCATGAAATAACAAAATATTGTATCTAGGATCAATTGCTCCCAGAGTGGATTTTTCACTGTTAAAAAATTAATCATTTATGACAATTTAGCTTGATTTTGATGAAATATCTGACACAGAACAACAATTATGCTAAGTAAACTGAATATTTTATCACAAAGATGTCACTGCAGCAGTCACTAATAAATATGATACACCCATTCTTCAATACTTATTGCGATCCACTCACAGTTCGGTGGGCATGGCACTACTTGAGTGAATTTATTAATAAGTTATGTAGTAAAGTAGTACAATGACAATGTCATAAAATTCACTCATTCTTTTTTTCACATTTCAAAGCATCATAACCTGCCAAAAACATTCATACCTAGTGAGCACTATTACTAAGCACTGTCTTTTATCATCATAATAGTGAACTATACTTCTAACCACTGCACTGAAAGAAAGGACTTTGTATAAATACCCAGTATCTCACCATCCCTGTCTTTTCGACCAGGCACAGCTGTAATTTACCATTCCAAACTTCCCGCTGACTTTTATGGCTTCTCCATTCAATCTTGCCTATTGTCACGATGCCATACAAATGGATTCGCAGTCATATATCTAATGGCGCAGCAGCATGTGTTTGCAGGGTTCAGTCACAGACTAATGGACACCATTTCCAGGTATTTTCCACCATCTTCCCTGTTTTTCTTTGAATTGCTGGGTGTGATTCAGACAGTGAAACCTTACAGAAATCAGTTTCTCTTTTTTTCTATATCCAAGTGCAGCTTTCAGGGTTTCATTCTCATATATGATATGTCCTATAGATATAATCAGATCACAGCCTTTCTTCAACCTTTCTCCCCATCTCGAAATACAAAATATATGGGTTAAAGGGATTAAACGAAGTATGATTTATTGACCCAAAGTAAACATCAATCTTTTGACTCACCTCCGCCCCATCCCAACTGACCTTGGTCAGCCTGGATGTCCAGAGGTGACCACTTCCTCAGCTTTGCTCATGGTTATTTGCCAAGAACTCAATATTTTTATACTTTCTCTATATATTAACCAAACACAGCTTCTTTATTTATATACCAAACTTGTAGTGGACACATGGTGTAGACATTCTTTAATTGATTCTTCTCTGCTTTGTTGATATCAATAGTGGCCCAAGGTAAGAATTATTTTTGAGTGTGGTGTTTGACAAAAGTTTTCTGCATTATGAGGAGGGAAATTTGTGTGTGACCAATGTTTGGCAAATTAGGGATCCTATACAGTTATGATACAAGCACTGAAGAACAGGTCCCTCTTAAATATAAAATGATCACTTTTTAAATAAGGATGCACTGTGGTGACTTGACCAGATATCTAGAATTATATCAGAGTGGCATGTGACCATATTATACCATAATTGTGCCAGCAGCAAAATGCCAGTGGTCATCCATTGACCACTTAAAATACCACAACCATGTCCAATATCAAACAAACATATCCATTAACTCTTATTGTTGTGAATTTGGGAACCTGCAGCAACTTACAACACCACTCATGAAGGCATTTATGCAGACATCAAAAGAACAACATGTTTCATTTACATTGGTCACTTTGCATTAACATTGCAGTCTTGTCACAATAACTTCATCCCCAGTGGTCAGTTTCAATTAAAACCAATGGCCATAATGGTCCTACGCTAATGGTCATTTCAGCCAGTCATGTCCAAAACAATTGTTGTTTGATGTCAAAAAGAAGGGTTCTCTTTAAGTGCAGTTGTCAAGTTACAATGTTTCATGATGGGTCCCCATTAAAGATGTTCCACGGTCCATTCATCTTCCTGCTGATAATGTCCATTAAGTGGCTTGACCACCGGTTTAAGGAACAGCAAAATTATTAACCTGTGGTCCACTCATGGCAGCTTTTTATTGTATCTCCACATGAATGAAAGTCGTATCGTATCATCCACTGCCTCTGCCAGAGAACCTAGCTCTCTTTGTTCCACTTGGCCAATCTAGATGGAACTATATCCCTGTGCAGTAATGAGGGGGTTTAATTGCTTCTCATCCTGATTGAATTCTTTTGTGATATCAACGCCACTTTTACAAAAGGAAACATTGTGTCATTTGAGGAAAACTTCAGGAGGGCAATTTCAGATACAGTAATGATGTTTTTAATTATAATTTTATCTGATTAAATCTCTCTTACTTTTACACACACACACACACACACACACACACAAAAAAAAAAAAAAAAAAAATCCCAATGGAAAAAAGTACACTTCAAAGTGCACTAGTAGCACAGTAATAACACCTTTGGCCATATCACAGCATTTGCACACAGAAAGCCAACAAAGCATTCAGCATAGCATTAAAGCACTGAGCAGCTTAATGGAAGTTTCACCTTTTTCTGATATGATAAATAGATGAGCCGCAAGCTATGCTGTGTTTAGCTTAAGGTATGATACTGCTGGCATCTTATTACCAATCTGTAACCATAATCCTAACATCCTGTGACTTAAGAAGTCAACTAAATCATTAGGATACATTCACCTATGCCAGAGTACTTAAATCACTTCCATCTCTAATCAGATTCCACTGTCTGAATAGATTAGTTTGTCATAAACGGTTTGAAATCAATTTTGTTGTATCCGGAGAAAAAAAGGGACAAATGTTAATAATGTATCCTTATCCCCAAAAAAAGTCATGGTCATCATACATAGCTTATATATTTTGATAAATATTGTTATTATTATCTGGTTGAAAAAGTCTCAAAGATCTCCAACATCAACCAACTGAATGCCGAACTCCTGTGCATCATCAGTAACTTGTCTCTTCCTCCACTGACCCATATCTTAGGTTCTTTAGGTCTTGCTGATAAGCCTCCAAGGAATATATTTATGCTGTACTATGTCTTGAATATTTTCCTCCCATTTCCTCATAAACAATATCCACCTTAAACTGCTGTAACACTCCACTCCAACCTTGGGTTTCACTCATCAAGTACAGCGAAGGGTGGGCATCAGTAAATATAAACAATCAAAGATTTCACCAAGATATGAGAAAAAAAAAACAGGGCTTACCTTGAAAGGGTTAAATCCAATTTGGTGTTGTTATCCTCCTTGCTCTTTCTGTGCTCTGGCGTGAATACAGCTTACTTATTATTTATCCACACCTCTGAAGTCTCCGTTCGCTCTCACTCGATCTACCTCCTCTGGCAACTGTAAGACCTGGAATACGCAAAGCATACTATCCTCTTAATCTCATTATATTGGGTCAATACCATTCTGAGGTGGGGAGGAAGTCATGCCGAGAGCCTATTAAGCCAGAGTGGGTTATTCCAAGTTTGGAAAGGGGGGACAGGCTGTTCTTTGGTGTTCCTGGAGGTTTCTTTAATTTTTTTTTTTTTTGATAAAGTGGGAAGAAGCCATGTTTAATTTGTTTTGTTTCATTACTTTTTCCTACAAACTGATTATTTAAAGTTTACATTTCTTTGCCAGATGGAGTTTTCATTTCTGAATGCTGATACATGAAAAATTTTGGTAAAATGTGCTCTAGCTGGCTTGCTCACGGTGTGTGTGTGTGTGTGTTTGTGTGTGTGGTGTATTGGTGTATGCATTGTGTGTGTGTGTGTGTGTGAGAGAGAGAGAGAGAGAGAGAGAGAGAGAGATCCGCAGTAATTACAACCTCAAATAAATCAGATAGCCATCTCCAATTATAAACATTAATATTACAATCACAAAAGCAATGTTTTTATAACCACAACCTTCCACATACCACAACATCAATTATTAAGCAACTCTATCCAACCAGTCTCTTAATAACTCATTAAGAAGTGTGCTGCTAAGTGCCATCAATTCCTGACAACAATACCTAAGAGACAGCAGTAAATCTGGGTGACAGGTAGTGCAATTCAACAGGTACAGACTATTACTCCACTAAATCTTTATTGCCCCAGTCACTTAATGGACAAAACCACAGAGGGTGACACTATCACCTGAGATAGGTGAAAAACAGTCCTCACTCATCAAAATACCCTCAAATGGCTCTCAATGAATACAGTAAGTGCCCTGACATCTGAGGTATTATCATATAATTTTATGTGTCCCTTAAGTGTCCCTTAAACTACACAATGGGGCCATGAGACTGGATAACCAGTTACACCAGACAGCCAGCACCACTACTACTTGTACTTCTTAGGATGGGACATTTCAGTTGTTCACTCCCCTGACAGTTGATGGAGAGATTAAATAACACAATTCTCTCTATAAAAGTGGAGCCAAGACCTTAAGTGCAAGGAAATAATGCAATCAGTTGTTATATTAAGTTGACTCATCTCGTCTTGATTGTCAGTGAAGGAAGATTGGAGTGACGGGGTATCCAGTGTCACTCACTGTAGGTGGATAGGTTTAATAACTTTTTTCTTTTATTCTCTGTTCTGTCTTTCTCTTTGAATTAACTTTTTATCGTATATAACACCATCCCTGTATTTCTGAAAATAAGCTTTTTGAAAATGCCCTCACTTAAAGAGATAATAACTCTTCGTATGAGATCTATATTTCACAATAAAAACATTGTGAAAAACTCATAGAAATATAATATATTGTTTTACCACAAAAAAAAAACAAAAAAACGGCAGTTATAGCTATTATTCTGATATCTGAGCTTCTCTTTAGACCTCGTGACCGTCATTGATGGCTATACTCTGTTATAATCTCTTAAGAGATTATAACAAAAAAACAAACTTTTCAGAAAAAAAAACAGGTACTAACTTTGAATGTAAAAATGAATTCATTAACCATTGGTAAGTGTGGGAAAATTGTTGTTTACTCCAGGAAAATTCTTTTTTTTTCCAAAATGAAGAGTTATTATCCCTTTAAACTTTTACTTTCAACTTTGTCCAAGTGCTTTGCTTCCCATAAATATTACTCATATATCTCTTCATTTATAATGATTTCTTAGTTATTCTATTCTATTAAATTTCTTTAAATGACAAGAATAAAACAAGATCAAATCCTCGTATTCTAAATATCCCTGTATTCTTAAAAACACTGGAAAGTTTTTACTTGATAGTAAAAAAAAAAATACTTCAACAGTGATGATATTTTAATATATAAGAACTCACCCAAAACCACTCATGCATTAAAAAGTCAGTCAGGAGGCTTTGAGTCAGTCCAGAAATAAAGTCAATTTTTTTTTCTCTTTTTCTTTTTTATCAATAATGATCACATGATAGGTACATTAGGTGGTTAAGGTAAAAAGACAAACGCGTTGGTGGTGAGGACAAACCAGAATAATTTGTTCCATAATGTAAAATGTCCCTCAATCTCTGTCAGAGTGCAAACCCAGGTTCAAATGGGGCCCAGTTCAAATTGCAACCAGAGAGGGGGGTTCAAAACTGATCCCTTTCAGTGAAATTCTAGATCCACTCCCATTCCTGTCACAGATCATATTAATAACAAAAGCATATCTAGCCCTCCAGTCTGAAGAAGTATAAATGTCCAATGGAAACAAATACAGTTGACATTGCAAAACTGTCTCTTTAAAAAAATGCCCATGTAGATGCTTTTGTGCTTGTGGATGCTTCCTAGTCTCAAAGATGATAGACATGAGTTTATTATTATTAGAACATCAACATTCAGAGATATCATACCATAGAACACGTTTTTTCCAAGTGGGAGGTGTGAAAAGGCACAGTAAGTGACGAGGTAAATACTGAAATGACATTACCAAACATCACAGGGTGATAACACAGTTCAACTGCTCAGTCATCACACTCTGATTGGACGTTATTAAATAGTCTGTTTGGGATTAATATCATATGTGTTTGCTTTGACTAAATCATAACTTGCTAACATTTGATTTCTGGTTCTGAAAAAGTGGATTTTTGCACCCCCTCATAGTTGACCCAAAGTGAAATATGGCATATATTAGAACCTAGGTCAAATTTCGATTCAGAGTAGCCATTTCCTACAAAAAAGGCAATTCTTTGTGNTCTTATAAGCAATAGGTAAACAATTTTTCCACAGAAGAAAGCGCAAGAGCCTCAAAATATCGGTAAAAGTTCATGATAACAACTGAAACACTGGAAAATGTTCACCAAAAGTTCTGCCTGAAAATGTAGACATCATATCTATCAGCATGCAACCCATCCATCTCTTCCTTTTTTATCCTTGTCCAAATAAAAATGTAAACAATTTCCAAAATATATTCATCACACAGACACCTCTGCCTGAGCCAAGGCTATCTTTTACAGCGGTCCACTTTGAAGCTCTTTGATGGGCTGTCAGTTTGATTGACAGCTCAAGATGTCAGGTCAGATGCTAAATTGAAATGGCGCAGTTAATAACTGTTGATGGAATTTTAGCATTTGATGTGAAGGCCGATCAAAAGATGGGTTCTCCATCTTTTCTGGGTGGTGGGGCTACAGACAGGGATGTTCCTGGTAACTCCCGACATGATTTTCCGGAATGTGAGTCTTTAAAGTTTGATTCTTTTTCCAGCCATGCTGGCAAGAGGCAAACAGATAGACTGTCATGGAGTGCTTTTTGTTATCTGAGCTAAGGCCTGTGGCAAACATTTTCAAAAGAAACGGGAGGGTTTCTTTTTGGAAAAAAAAAGTCTTTTGTACAATGAGAAATGATACAGAGACTGGATCAAAAATATGATCTAGAGTAGACCAATTCTGAGCCCAAAGGACAATTTGTTCAGAGCACCTACTCCCACCCCATGAAGGCCCTTGCATAGTAATAGACAAAAAAGGGGGGTTTTGAGGGGGATAGTTGAAAGGTTAAGCATGGAAAACAGACAACTGTGGTTGAATGGTTTATAATAGTAATATGGACTTTTACAAAACAGGTCAGCTTTTTCTACAGCTGATTTATTTTTTCCCCATGGGTTAAAATGGACTACATCTTTTCTGTCTTAAACTTCAGACCACCCCGTTTATCAGCAGATGGCACTTGATGACAAAGGGTGTGACAAGTTTCACACCACTGCATCTGATACCTACCGCCAAATACCGAATGACCCAAGTTTTTTTTTCCATCAAACAGAGGAGTTTGTCAACAGTTTTGTTGCTGGCCTCGCCTCACACCTTCCCTTGAGTGGATATGAATAAGAGCGGAAGGTGGAGGAAAGAAAACAGTTATCTGTCTGAATAAACATATACATTACACAGCTGGTAGTTGTCTGGGTGAGAACTGAGAAACAGTAGATGAATGATAGAAATGTGTGTAACTTTGGGCATGTTGATGAGAAAATCTTTTTTTCTTCCATTTTAATGCGGTTTCAATATGTGCTGATTTATCATTCTCATTGATTTCCCTTGTTCATCCATGCTACTTCAATACTCTTCCACGACTCTCTCCTTTGTGCATATTTCACCTTGTTTATTCTAACAAAATCAATTATGGATCTTAATTTTAGAAAAAAATATTAATCAGTCAGTTTTCGTGACATGGAATGTGTGTGTGTGTGTGTGTGTGTGTGTGTGTGTGTGTGTGTGTGTGTGTGTGTGTGTGTGCAGTTTGAGAGCCCCAGTCTGAAGCTTAAAATTGTAACCAGCTTGTCACAAGTATGAAAACTATTGAACTCATCAGAAGATGTATTATACTGATGAAAAAAAAAATGTGTATAACAGTGACTAAAATTTTCAGCCATCAAACTCAACTGGTAGCACATCTGCTAGATGGTTATTACATGTACCTTGAATAATGACTGCAGTTCCCCTTTAATCTCTAGTCAAGCTGGCAATTTCAACTGCGGTTGACTTCACTAATGCTAATGTGAATGGCCCTTATCTACCACTGTGTGTATGTGTGTGTGCGCACGCTCGTGTATGAGTGTACATGCCTATGTGCACCCTTCTACATACTTGTATCCTTATCAACCCGCCTGTAGCGTACCTTTTCCCTTGCAACAGGGCTGCCTACAATTCTGCTTTTTTCTACCCTGTTGCAAAATTAAGTTTTAACTCCTTTATCCTTGAGGCAGTTTTGTCTCTCTATCTCCCCCCTCTCCCAGTAGTCAAATATCTAGCAGGTGGACTGTAGCCTTCTGTGAGGAGATGGTCACCAGTGATAACCCTCTCTACCACGGATCACTTAACTGACAAGAAAAATATCCAATCACTAGTGGAAATGCCAAACCTCTTGCCTTGGGAACTACAGTATCTGGTGTGAATTTTTTTTGTAGGTTAGAAGTTAAGTAAAGGATAGAAGAGTGGAAA